CCCCAAAACCCCAAAACCCCAAAACCCCAAAACCCCAATCTTAGTTATACTTATTGAGGATAATAAAATAAATGAACTTAGGTGACAACTTAATGAAGCAAGGAACTTTCAAGCAAACTCTTATGAAAGGGCAGCCCACTCTTAGAAGCAGGGTGGCTAAATTTCGCAGATTTACTATCAAACCCGGACTTGAAAGATCAAATAGCCAGCGTAAATCTGACTCTCCAATCTTAGCAAGGGACAATATTTTCGATTTCCTGCAGAATAGAAAATCAATCAATGGGAAAGAAAAGAACAGTTTTAGAGCAAAGAAAGATGGTGATACTATTAGTGAGAAGACAGATACTTCAGAGACATTAAATAGTAATGTACGCTTTGATTACTAAAACTTTAGGCTGCTAGGTCTATTTCACTTCTGAATTTTCATGCTACTACAAACAATTTTCCCTAGTTTTTGCGCACATCTTGGTGACTAAAGTTCTAGATATGAATTTATGCCAGTGTTTAAAATTATCCATTATGCCTGAGAAGGTGGAAAGTTGGGAAAACCTTTATATCTTGAAAAGATTATTGCAGTGTATTTTACTAGTTCTATATATCACCTGTTGATTATAGCTCACTGACTGAAGCAACAAGTTGGAGTATAATAATGAAGGATATTTCTTGTCCTCTAAAGCTGATCTCAGGATGTACTATCACCAGATGAACAAAAGTCTTGGTAAATAATGATCTCATTCTCTCTAGCCCAGTTGGAAATTGATAAAAGGAGGAGGAAATAAGATTCAGGAAGAGAAACAATCCCAGAAAATCCAAGAAGAGGCATTTATGAAAATCTTGACCCAATTTGATAACAAAAGTATCTCCTTGAGTTTAATTATTTGTAGAGAAATCGACAGTGAGGTTTTCTTCACAAAAATGATTCTTCGTCACTAGAGTTCACAATTCTTCATTAAAGACTAATGGATACAATATTGATCCTTTACCAGAAAGAAAAGATTCCAGTAAAAAAGAAATGGATCAACCCGGACATGAGTCTAATCCTCAAGTATTGTTCAGTAAGAATAGACTTGCAAGCTTTAAGAAGAATGATGAAGCCTATCAAAATGAGGAGAGCTCCTATCAAAATGAGGAAAGCTCCTCCCATAATGACAAAAGGTAAACTAGCTTTCCTTTTACGATTAGCAAAATTTGCATTAATATCACAAAATCTTGATTATATTATATCCAGTGATTCATGATTTACCATTGAATACGGAGTTATTAACTTATCCGTTTTTACTAGGATCTCGATAGTGAAGAAAGTTGCTAGGAACATCTCACGGAAAGATTGCAAGACATCAGGCTCGTTATTTCACTCATTCACAGTAAAAAGGAAACACAGCCGACGTAAATTTCATTGAAGACAAACTACAAAACTTTTGAAGGAGAAAGTAAAATTCCAAATGAAAGAAAATGCAAAGATGAATAACTTTCCTGACCAAAGTCCGGGACTTCAGTCTCTACAACCTCGAGGATCTTTGACTTTCCAGAGGTATCAGAAGGTGACTCAGCTTCGCAAACAGAGGACCCACACTGCTCGATCCTAATGAATTTTCAACATGATTTGCCTTTTAAGGGGTTTTGGGGTTTTGGGGTTTTGGGGTTTTGGGG